ATTATTATTATTATTTTAATATTTTTATTCTCAGTTAATCTGCGTTTAAAAGAAAAAAAATGACTAAAGCAAACAAATTTTTTTTTTTTTTTTTTTACTTTTCTTATAGTTTTCCGTTTTTCATTTCCGAAACATTAAATTTTTTTTTTTTTTTTTTTTTTTTGTTATAAGCCGACATTGAAATGTTATTATTTTCATCATTATTATCGTTTCTCATTTTTTTAAAGAAAAAATTTAATTTAACGACTATTAATATTGTTGACATTTTGTTTTTTGAAAAAAAAAAAAAAAATGAAAAATAAGCAACGAAATTAAATTTACGAAAAAAAAAAAAATTATTATTATTATTATTATTGATTATGATGAGACGTAGGAAAAAAATGAAGTCGTAAAGGAAAAAGGGGATGAAAATAATTTTTTTTGTTTTCTGATTAAAATCCAACGTAAAAAAAAAAAAAAAAAAACTTTGTAAATGAATATCCTGTCGTATATTCGCCACGAATTCGATATTAAAAAAAAAAAAAAAAAATATCGAATTAATTTCTTTTTTTTATTATTAATTTTCCATTCGTTCGTTTTCATCCCTCGAACGTTATTAACTTTAAGGGTAAATAATAATAATAATAATAATAATAATTTGTTTTTTTCCAGGAAAATGTTATTATATGATCGGAACAAAAAAAATAAAGGTGTGGTAATTGTTTAAAAAAAAAAAAGAAAATTCAAATGTTAAATTTTTTCCTTTTTCTTTTTTTGTCACAGGGTGAGGTCATCGTCATTAGGTCAACTTTGAAAAAGGATTGAAAATAAAAGGAAAAAAAAAAAAAAAACCATAACTACTCATGAATCCCGTTCAAATACATTTTTTTCCCGTTTATTCCTTTGCATTTATTTATTTAATCACATTAACGTTCGTCACTGGAGATGACGTCATACTACAAAAACGGGTACAAATTTTTTTTTCTTCCCCCCTTGTTATTTTTAATTACTCGAATGAAATCGTAGGGGGTGGGGGTGGAAGGGTAGGGGAGAAGGAGGAGGAAAAACAATTAAAAACAGTCCCGTTTGACCGGAAAATCCCAATTATAATAATTTATGATTTTTTTTTTTCTTTTTGTTTACAGTCGGAAAGAAACAGATTGGATATGGATCGTTTTATGTATGATGGCCACGCAATGAAACGTCCTTTTTGTAACGCTTTTACAGGTTTGAATATTATTATTATTATTATTATTTTCTAAACAAAATGAACCCCGCCCCCCCCCAAAAAAAAAGTATAAGGTACCGTTCATTGATCGATCGATCGATTGACAAAATCTTAAATATATTTTTATACGAAAACTAAAAGCTAAACTTTGACCGGAATTTCCCGAATGAAAACTTTTTGAATTTTCATTTTAATTTACAGAGAGAGAGAGAGAGAAAGAGAGAGAGAGAGAGAGAGAGAGAGAGAGAGAGAGAGAGACTATTTCCCCATATTTTACAATATCAAAGTTTACATTTTAATGTGAATTAAAATTTTGGTAATTTAATTGTTTTCCGGTTTTACAATGTAATTACTACGATAGTAATAATGATTGGAATGGTAATCAATAAATTATTATTATTATTATTTTCGAATGAATATATCCGCCATTTTTTTTTTTTTTTTATATCGAACGTTTGTTATTTTATATATATAAAAAAAAATTTAATTTAATTTAATTTAAAATGGTCGAAAACGTGATCGTGATGATGATGATGATGATGATGAGATTTTTTTTTTTTTGTACGGTTTAGGTTGCGGTAAAAAAAGATCGGAGGGATCGATTGGAAACATTTTAGGTTTTAATACCGAACCTGAATCTGACGAACTCTTAAAACAATTTCTTACCGAAGCAAAACTATGGGAAACGATTCAAGAAGCAAAAATGGAATTGGAAAGACGAAGACAGGGAAGGGTAAAAATACACATATATATATATGAATCTTTACAATATACCTTTATACCTTTACTAATATTAAAAATAATGATAATTTATAGCAAAATGCTGTGAGAGATGACGTACCGTTAAGGCTACCGTTAGCATCCTACAGGAGAAAAAGATCGACAAAAAAAGCTCAAGAAAATAATTTCGATGAAAATGTAAGAGTAAAAAATTATTTATTATTATTATTATTATTATCTCTATTTAATAATAATAATAATAATAATAATAATAATAATATTTTATTCGTCAATTAAATTAATTAATTATTAATTTTTTTTCTTTCTTTTAGAATGTGAGATCAACTTAATTTCATTATGTCTCCCACACCTACACACACACAAAAAAATTTTTTTTTTTTTTTTTACAATGTAAATAATTTAAATTGACAGTTTTATCACACGTTTAGATTTATTTTTCTCTTTTGGCTTTAAATAAAAAAATATTGTAAACCTTTTAAAAGATAAATAAATAAATAATTATTAATGATTGAAAAAAAAATTTTAATTCATTTAAAAATTTTATTTTTTAATTTTTTTTTTAATTGGATGCAAACCTTATTTTTAATTATTAATAATTTTTCCTTTATTTATTTATTTATTTATTTTGAAATGTCACGTTATTTAATTAATTGTTATTTATTAAAAACATTCAAATTTTAAAAAGTGTTTCAAGTTTTTTGTTGTGAAAAAATAAATAATAGATCAATATAGAAATACATTCATGTAAAATATTAGGCTTTGTCAATAAGTAAATTTTGTTATTTTTTAATTTTTCCACTAAAATATACAAGTTTATTGGGTTTTTTATTTAAAGAAAACCTTTTAAAATATAATAGAAAAGTAAATTTGGAAGAATAACAAGAATAACATGTGAAATAATAATAATAATAATAATAATAAATACTTTTTGGATGTGCAAATAAAAATTATTATTAAAATTATCTATCTCAGGAAGTGGTAAAAATCAAGTTCAAATTTTTTTATTAAGTTAATTTTTAATAGTTTATCAATTTACAAGGTCATAAGTAATTAAATAGCGACAGTAAAAGAATTTTTCACACATTTTATTTTCAATATGCAAGACAAACAAATAATGTCTGCAAAATCTGTTTTGCGTAAACAATTGTATTCAATAATAAATAATCTATCAAAAGAAGAAATAAATCGACAGTCGAAAATTGTCACAGCTAAGGTACGTTAATTATGTTTTTTTTTTTGTTTTTAACAATAACAATTGCAAACACTCTACTGACCTACAAAGTGTAGAAAAATAATAATTTTTATTTACTTAAAGGTATTACAAAATGAAGAATTTAAAAAATCGAAAGTTGTTTCTATATATTTGAGCATGCACAACGAAATTCAAACGGAAGATATTCTAGAAGAAATATTCAAGCAAGAGAAAAAATGTTTTATACCGAGGTAAAGAAAAATTAAAGATATTTATTATAAATTATCCTACCTTACTTAATTAATTCGACACCATTTTTAATTTCCATGATTGTTGATAACCCTCCTTAATCGTGGAACTAGAAAAACGTTAAGTATTCGTGGAACAGGCAAAGCGAATACAACAAACAGTCTTGCCTACATATTTAGGACGTACACGTTTCATACTTACTCTTAAGTCAGTTTATCCGTTTTACATTTTGTGAATTAAAAATGGTTTTAGACTTAGATTTATTTCGTTCGGACAAAGGAGGTAACGTAGATAAGGTGAAAGAAAATCAACAAAAGCGTTTTAAAAATGTTGCCTTGGTTGAAGAGGTTATCAGCTGTGATACTAAATGGCGAGAAGCAAGACATGTGGCGGATAATTTAAACAAGATTAAAAACCTTTGCAGTAAAGCAATAGGAGAAAAAATGAAAAATAAAGAATCTCCCGGTGGTGGCGATGCCGTGCCCGAGAGCATTTTGCAAAAATTGAGTTTGCTTACGTTAGATGATGTAAAACCTTTAACTGTCAATCAAATTAAATTAATAAGAGAAGCAGTCGATAAAAAAACGGAAGAAAATAATGATGAAATGAGTAGATTAGAAAAGCAAAGAAACTCGGCTCTCAGGGAGGTAGGTAACCATTTACATTCCTCCGTCCCAATAAGTAATGACGAAGACGAAAACAAAGTTGAAAGAACTTTTGGAGATTGCTCTACGAAAAAAAAATACTCTCATGTCGACCTTATTCACATGATTGATGGAATGGATGGTGATAGAGGTGCAAACATATCTGGTGGAAGAGGATATTATCTTAAAGGAGCAGCTGTTTTTCTGCAACATGCTTTGATTCAATTATCATTGAAAATGTTACTTAAAAAAGGCTTTCAACCCTTGTACACTCCCTTTTTTATGAAAAAAGAAGTGATGCAAGAAGTTGCTCAATTAAGTCAGTTTGATGAAGAACTCTATAAAGTAACTGGTAAAGGCAGCGAAAAAGGAGGAGTAGAAGAAAAATATTTAATTGCAACATCCGAACAACCAATAGCTGCTTTTCACAGAGATGAGTGGATTCCTGAAAATAATCTTCCGATAAAGTATGCAGGAATTTCAACTTGTTTCAGACAAGAAGTTGGTTCCCATGGCAGAGATACTAGAGGAATTTTCAGAGTTCACCAATTTGAAAAAGTTGAACAATTTGTTTTGACATCTCCTCATGACAACAAGTCTTGGGAAATGATGGACGAAATGATTGGCAATGCTGAAGAATTTTGTCAGAGTTTGGGAATCCCATACAGAGTAGTGAATATAGTATCTGGTGCTCTTAATCATGCTGCATCTAAAAAGCTCGACTTGGAAGCTTGGTTTCCTGGATCAGAAGCATTTAGAGAGTTGGTTTCTTGCAGTAATTGTTTGGATTATCAAGCAAGAAGGCTTTTAGTTCGATATGGGCAAACTAAAAAAATGAATGCCGCTACTGAATATGTACATATGTTAAATGCAACAATGTGTGCCGTCACCAGAGTTATATGTGCAGTTTTAGAAGTACATCAAGGTGAAGAAGGAATAACAGTGCCAACTGTTTTAAAAGAATTTATGCCTGAACCTTATAAAAATATAATTCCATTTGTAAAAACAGCTCCAATCGATGAAGCTGAAACAAAAAAACAAAAAAAACAAAAGGAAGGAATGATGAAAAACAAGTAGACATTAAATAAAACAAAAAAAAAAAAAAAGAGGGGTTTTGATAATGATTTACAAAAATATAATAACTGAAATTAATCAGTAAGTTATATTTTATTCTTCTCCCATCATCGATAATATATAATGTTTTTTATTTAGTTTGTTTTTCCTCTCTTTACAGATTTCAAGCGGGCAAGCCAGTAATGGAAATGATTCATCTGGAATCTATGGAACATTATCATTCATTACCTAAAAATAAATGGAATATTAAACAACCACCAATGGAAGAAAATGTAGAAAGTATTTTCGACAAAGGTCAGTCAATTTTTTTTTTTTTTTTTTTATATTTAAAATGAATCATTATGTATCATATTAATAACAAATATATATAACATATCAGTCATAATAAATTCTCAAGGTTTATTTATAACCTTAAAAGTTGAACTGGTTTTTTTTTTATTATTATTTAGGACAACTTGATCTTGTTTTAACTCCTGGACTTGCCTTTACATCAAATGGGCTTCGTCTTGGTAGAGGCAAAGGATATTATGACCAATTTTTTAAAAAATGCATGAATGAACTTGCTAAACTTCCTTACACAATCGGTCTTGCTTTCAATGAACAAATTCTGGATCACGTTCCAACTGAAACTCACGACGTCTGCTTAGATTTAATAATTGCCCCTGAATAAAAAATTTAAAATGATTCTCTTATATATTTTATAAAATGTATATTTTAGTTGCGCTATTTATTGAATATGTAAAAATAATGATAATAAATTAAATGAAACAAAAAAATTTTTCTCTCT